TACAAGGTTCTCGAGGGTGACGGTAAATAATTTTAGCGAGGTGATCTTGCCTTGCCTAAACTTTCTATTGACGTCGATGTTAATAATAACGTTGTAGAATAGTACTATCTCGGTTTTGGAATTTTTATATAGCTTGCGAAGATTCTTCATATACTGAGTAGGGACTTCCAACTGTCCAGGGCTTCCATAACTGCTTCTATCTCAACTGGGTCAAAAGCTCTCTTTAAATCGATGAATGTGAGACAGAGCGGTCTCTTGTACTCTTGCGATACTTCAGTGAATCGTGTTACCGTTTGGATGTGGTCAATCGTAGTGTATCCTTTTTGAAACCCTGCTTGTTCACACGACTGTTCTTCTTCCAATGTTCTGTCAATCCTGTTTAGGATGATTTGGGTGGAAAGCTTGTAGACAACAGATAGTAAGCGGATTGGGTGACAGTTGCCGATATCGTGGAGCTCACCCTTCTTGAACAAAGGCTCGATCTTGCTGGTCTTCCGTTGAGGAACCTTGCTCTTAGACAAGTAGTCTGTGAAAAACTGAGGCAGTGTGTTTATGAGAACTGGTGTAAGGTTCTTCAGGTGTTCAGATCTTATCTTGTCCGGATTTGGTGTTCTTCTATTCTTCACCGACGACATATTATGTTGAATTTCGGAAGGGAGAACCGGTGATGCGACATATCTATCCCTCTTTATTTCATATGAAGGTAGGAGGACGTGAGTGTTAAAGAGATCCGAATAGTAATTGTAATCGGTTTTCTCCATTGCCTTTCTGGGACCTTTAACTGTTACGTTTGGGCGTCGGAGTGCAATAATCTCGGTGTTGTGATTGCCGAAGCTTTTGTAGGTTTTAAGAATTCTTTTCCCAGCTTCGATCGTAACTTATGGTTTTTTCTCTTTAAGATCTTCTTTTGCCACCTGTCTGCATTGTTTTCCAAGTTCGCACATGAATTAGTGTTGCCTATAGCACGTCCAATTCCACGTTGACGTGCCAGCTCGAGTGTTTCTGGACATGGACGTCTCTTGCTGAGTTTCGAAATCTCAGATTTCGCACTAATCTGAAGATGTTGAATGAGTCGATCGTATTTCTCGTCGATGTTATCATGAAGACTATCTTCTCAACAACCGACTAATGAACTGAGTAACTCCCAGTCTGTGGTGGTTTCGGGACTGTTTTTAAATCTTAGCGGCTATTTCTCTTTTTTGCGAGAAATAAAACCTTGCACGAAAGAGGCGATGGTCTGATCCCATGTAGACTTCTGAGACAACAGAGACATCGGTTAGGCAAAACCTTCGATTTACTATTGTATGGCTTGTTTCGTTATGGTACCCACTATTGGTAGGCTCCCACATCTATCGTTTAGAATGGAGCTTCAGGAATTGTGAGTTAACATGAAAGATCTCAGTCATGACAAACTCGGAGATTTGCTCAACATGCTCCTTACATTCTAATGCGCGAGCCCCAAGATGACGTTCTTTGGACGTCCTTTTCGGTCCAATCATAGCGTTGAAATCTCCAGTGATGACCTTGAAGATATGGTATTTTCTTTAGCTCGCCAAGTCTATGTAGAACCCTTCGAATTCCTCTTTTTCACAGCTTCATGTCGGTGCGTAAACGGCGGAGATTGTCAAATCTGGTATGGACGCAGATTTTTCAGCCGTAAACGTCCTACTCGGGTTGTCAGTTGTTCGAATTAATCGAGGTACATGACCAAACTCGTGTTGAGGAGAACGTGGTCGTCGCCTACTCCTCTGTTGCCATATGTTCCGAGCAAGTTTCTCTCCAGTGTCAGGGACAACAATGAAAGGACAGCTTCTTCTCGTCTCACTCAGTTCGATGAAGTCGTACCTTATTTTTCTTGCCTACATGATCAACTCCTATGAAGGATTCAGATGCAAGTGTGCGTGTATTGTAGGTGCGAATCCTCACCTTAGTTTTTTGTGATCTAGGCAGCCTAGAATGACAGATTTTAGCAGCCTCTCCGTACTTGTCAAACCCAACGTTGCCGTATCGGGGCCTCAGAGCAATGAGGTCCATTTATTTTCCTATGTTTAGCTTTTTGATGGAGGGTAATAATGGGTCGACCTTGTCGACAGAGACACTTCGCTAGGATGTGGATGGTGAACCGTAACTATAGAATAGATTTATAGAGAACGTCACAAAAATGAGCAATTGAAGAGGGTATTGCAGTTTTTAGTTATGCAGTCCATTAGGAAGCAAGCAAAGTACTAGCTCCAACCTCTCCCAATTTAGTCCTCCAATCCACATGAGAACGCCTCGGCTAGCTCCGATGTTGCCAGGAGAATCCAGTCGACCAGCATACTGCGACATTCATAAAGAGGAAGTCCTCAAGCAGCAGCGGAAATAGCGCGCAAAACGCTCCTTTGTGGCCGGTTAATGCGAGGAAAACGAATGGAATGCTGGTCTTCCACTCAGACAAGCAATCTGTGAAAAGCCAAGGCAGTGGGTTTATGAGAACTGGCGGAAGACTCTTTACGTGTTCAGTTCTTGTTTTGTCCGAACCTGGTGCTGTTCGATTTTTCACCCTCGAAAAAGCATATTGGATTTCGGAGTGGGGAACCGGTGGTACGACGTATCCCTCATCCTTTTTTTCATATGAGGGAAGGAGAGCGTGACTATTGAAGAGATCTGAATAGTAATCGTGAATGATTTTTTCTATAGCCTTTCTGGACGCTGTAACTGTTCTGTCTGGGAGTAGGAGTGCAATCGTCTTGGTTTTGTAATTGGAGAAGCTTCTGTGGACTTTACCAATGCGTTTCGCTGCTTCTGCAGCTTCGACCATAACCGCTGAACATTCATATAACATCAAATATTTGCCATCCACAACGAATGTTGGATGATTTTGAAATTAGATATGGAGACGTCTTTACACATATTTACACATGTATATATACATATGTGTATATGTATATATGTATCTGTATATATATATGTATATATATATATATATATATATATATGTTCAGCCTTATGGGACGGCTTCTAATTTCTTGCCGGCTGCACAAACAGTAAATCTCTGCCAGATTAAAACGCTGCAGGGTTTTCAGCAATAGACAATAAATGACAGAATCATAAAAGAGACTTTATCGTTCTGAGGATGTGAATGGTATGTTCGGTATGATTCTTTACAGGTTACTCTGCTTCCCCAAGCATCCACACTGTCAACATGTGGAATTGTTTCGTTGTTTATATATCATATTTATATTTATGTGTATGGTTGGAGGCACCACTGCGACACACACGTGGAGTCGATCTCCGCGCCTATGGCCCACCGAGTCTTCCTTCCCTCCGGGGTCGGAAAATTAGTACCAGACTCCCAGAGGGGAGGAGAGCAGCACTGGCTCGATACATGATACTTAATGAAGTCGAATTTATGGCGCATCTCTCAGGGATTAGTCAACACCGAGAGCTTTATCCTTTATCCTTATATGTATATATATATATATATATATATATATATATTTATATTCTCAGTTCAACTTTGATGTCCATTTCGTATTTCTTATACCCGTTCATTTCATTCGATAACCATTTTTCGTCAAGGGTATTATTGTTAATATTTATTGCCATTATTATTAATATTTGTTAATACTTACCATCACACTGTGCCGATCCCAGTACTTATTGCATTCGATTCGCTTCCGCACATCTACTATCCGCGAAGGTTTTCAAACTTTTTGCAATGTGGGTTCGACTAATAACTGAGGGTTTTCCCGTCATTGTTACGAATTTCGTTGAATGCTTTTCTAATCGATGCTCCCTGACATTCTGAGCTAGCCGTGCGAGGGCGTATCCATGTAGATGGGAGCGAGTGAGCTCGTCTCAAATAGGTCTAATACTATTTTCTCTACTCCAGATGGATAAGAGGCTTGCTAGACCTGGTGTGGGATTGAACCAGAGCCTGGGTAAGCTGTCCATGCAATGGACGGGATTACTACCACTACGCTGCCTGTTCCCTGTAACATTTCGAATGAAATAGCGGTCAGTTGCCATAGAATAGAGTGGAGATACTACTCCATTCGAATAGTGCTCTGCGTCATGGGATTCGACTTGATACAACAACGAAGACCCATATCACAAGTACGAATGAGTGTAGAAAATCGGCTCGAATCATTCCAGCTCTAAAGAAAATGTAGTAGTTGGAACGTTAGCTGTACAAAATTTTTTACCAACCTCGTATTGGCTTAGTAATCCCGGAAGATATAGTCAATTATCAGTCGTGTTGTCGGTCAGTGGCAAAAGTTCCTTTGTTCACTGTCAAGTATAGAGAACAGCTTTCCACCTGCTACACCTGACCAAACATCTGTGTTGCACAAGTTGCGTCGACTATTTACAAAAATTTTGATGAAAACCTTATATCAAGGTACTTCACTAAGAAGGAACTAAAGGATGGAGTGTTCGGCGTAGATCCAGTATATTAGGGATGCCCCATGCACACGACTTCATCGTGGATCATGGAGGTGATCGAATGCGTCTCCGCACTGCACAATGCCTTACGATGGAATGCCGATGCAACGGAGTATATGTTTTTATCCTATACACAAGTTTGCTACCAATTTTTCTATCGCAGAAGGTTGGAAGATTTGGTGATCTCGGATCACAGGATCTAACCAGCGGCGAACTCCGTGTTTCTTGCAGGACACCTCTTACCACTACGCTATGCATAATCTGGAAAGGCAGTGGATTAGATGAACTGCACTCGGTCTACTTTCCACTCCCCACGCATACCTATAGTGTATTGCGAACATTACATGTTCATAGAATCGAGTGCAGGATGAACGGGTAACTTGCAAGGTCTGCCGTGGCATAGCTCTAATCTGGTCAGGCAACGATGTTAATGTATGCATGAGCACATAACAAACATTGAGGTTCTTCCATTTTCACTTAAACTTCTATCGTTAGTTTTGGATATGGATCGAGTACTTTATTTTATCGCATAAGTTTAGATGTTCATCGCTAATTTTCACCCTCTTTCAGGTTGAATGTCACTGAAATTGCCAGATATTGAGTTAGTGTGGGCAAGTGATGATACTATTAAAAGACGACTGACTGAAGAAGACTTTAATAAGGACGGAATCTTAAGAGATATTACTCATTCGGATAGAATAACGCATGTATACGAAGGAGGTTTTAAAATGAGTTTGTAGTGATTGGTCTGGTGTAGTTGGCATTTAGGCTGGTGTTACGTTCGATTAGAAGTATATTGAAGCATTTAAACATAAGTTGTTCACATTCTCAATGAACTTGGAAGTTCAAATGCATTAATTTGTCTTCAGGTTTGGGAGTGCTGTTACGACTTGTGCAAATTGATTCATAGTGAATCATCGCTGATTCGTGGAAGACGTGTACTTGAAGTTAGTTAGCTCATAGCTGTTTTAATTTATTCTGTTTTAAATGAAGCAGGGTTAGTGCAGTAGTTAGATGTGCAACCCGGGTTAGTTGTTGGTTCGTGCCTGCAAATAGTCAACCAGGGCCTCCATCGCTATGGTAAGATGGTGTGTTCAATATGTGAAGATATGTCATATATGCAACTAAGAAAAAAACTTTTCGTGACTTGTCAATCATCAGGATCACGGTGGTGGTTCGATTACGCCCTAATTTCACAAAGTCTCTCATCCCTCTGGATTCCTGAATTTGCTGCCAGATTTATCTGGGTTAGGTTCACTCCGTGCAGTCCAAGTGGGAACGATCTAGTCCGACTATCTCAGGACTCAAGTAGAATTGCCTCGACCACAGTTTATCGAAGTTCATGGCGAAAGGAAAATCCTCGAGCAGTGGCTGAACACATACTCAGATATTGGAGGGTCTTCATGGGTGATCGATACAAGGACATGAATCGAATGAAAAAGTGCTGGAGTTTGTGCAGTAGATGTAGCAGACAGACCGTGTAAAAACTATGACCTATCTTTACACTGTGCAGATTAAAATACTTCTTTCACTTTTTTTCTTTTGTTTTGTATTCGTCATCCAAGAGATCTTCAGTCTAGTATGTACATTCGTCTGGAAATTGATTCTATACTCTTCATAAATGTCATTAGATGCTTGTAAAGCTCACGTTGGCCTATCGTTGTGGATCTTCTGGAAGTTGGAATGAGCGAATTTGCCAATTTCCCTAACACGGACAGAGTGGTTTGGTTATCCCGCGTGCTTCGTGGAAGCAATAACCGCAAACACTGAGTATCTCCGGCCACTATACAAGACGTAGTACGCTCACCAATTCTTCGATCACAAATAGTTAAGTTATTGGAAACTATGTTAAATACATCGTTAACACGCGTGTTGCACAGAGGAGCACGTGTAGCTCAGTGATCGGAAGCGCCCTGCAATACATATGGGATTGATCCCACAACCCAGGCTCACTAGGTCTTCCATCCTTCCAGGGTTGGGAAATTGCTACCAGACCTGTCTGGCAGGATATCAGCACTTGTTCGATACATCGGTAGGCCATCGTGGATCATTTTAAAGGCCAGATGTGCATTCACTCATCTTCGACGATGCTTAATGAAATCGAATGCGTAGCGGATCCCTCAGGGATTGATCAATGCCGAGAGCTTTGATCTTTTATTATTTTTTCTACATCATTAACACATGATCTCCGTCATACATTGAGCACAATGCACTTGGTGCGAAAATCATGGCAGCTTTCTGTTTTAGGCCAACATTTCTTAGCTCATGTCGAACTCTATTAGTTAAAACAAAAACCGCTGGAATCCACAGATTTTTCCCTATATGGTACATGTTTTCTTATTCTACCATGTTGAAAATCTGTTGTCTTAAAGCCCGTGAGAAGTATTTTTTCCACTTTTCTTCTTCAAAGCTTCAAAGGCGTAAGCAATTGCACAAGGAGGAATTCGTCCCATAGAGGCCTCTGAGTTCTACAATCTATTAGTGTTTGCGGCTGCCGCAATTGCTTTAGGATATTTGAAAACTTTAATCACGCTTTTAGTTTTTTTTTGTAAATTTTTAATTTTAATCGTTTTTAAAATGGTGTGACGATTTATAACAATCAAATATGTCCTTAGAGCGATAGAGCAAAGCGTGTTCTACGACTGCAATGAGTTCTAAACTCCTCAAAGACCCAAGTGATGTAGAACTTTTGCTAGTTGTCGAAAAATCAGCTTCGGGCTTTTTGTCTTCAATCATTTACTTTTTTTTTAAATTTCACATTTTTTCCTGTCTAGCTTGGCTGTGGTGCAGGTCTTCCTGGTATACTGTGTGCATTGCGCGGAGCTGCCCATATCACTCTTCATGACTATGTAAATTGTTTTTGAAAGCGATTTACCTTGCTTTATGTTATTTGATCTGTTTTCTTACTTTTAGAACGAGTATGTAATACGGTGCTTCACAGAGGAAAACTTGTGCCTCAATGGTGTTGACAAATCTAAATATTGCTTAAGAAGTGGACCATGGAGTGAATTTCAATCCGCTATACAGCCTCAATGGTAAGTTTAGCTTTGGTTCTTTGACCTACGAAATATTACCTATTTTTTAGTACTGTTTAACTTTAATTTTGACTTTATTTCTTCACAAAATATGGCCACAATCACAGTTTGCCAATTCGGCAGTCCCTTCGTTGTTTATTTGCATAATTCCTTGTTTATCCAACCTCGTTGTTATTTATGTTTTTATCTGGTTATTACGTCTAGACAAGCGGCTAGCAAAGCCATCGAGATGTAGACGGTGCTGATAATCTTTCTAAGCTGAAGGAAGTCGACAGGAAATTTCGAAGAAAGCGGAACAATCACGGATGGGAGTTACAGTAGTTAGTGATACGGTCCATCAGGAAACAAGGTGCTGAATCCATCCCATCTATCTCCAGGAATGCAAGGAAAATCTCCGCGACCACCACTCTAGGATATTAATCAAGACGACGAAATCCTCAAGCAGCATCTGCAACAACACGCGAAATGTTCGGAAACCTAAATCAACTATGAAGCAAACACTATTTTGATGGAAAGATTTATTCGACTGACGTTTTGATGCCTTCTTCTTCTTCAGGGCCGGATTGACTCAAATCAATGATCTACGGGTGGTCGTGCTCGCGATGTAGCTGTTCGTTGTGGCATCAAGTGGAATCCAACGAAGTGGAATAACGATCTAATGATGAATCTCACTCGACAGCGCCTTCTTTTGCAGGACAGGTGTCGATCGACTGTCGCCCACTGCATCCTGTAGCGGTCGGTATTACTGGCTAGCACATAGTGAATTAAAACCGATTGTTATTAAACCCTGGCAGAAATAATCAGTATCTTCTTCGGAGATCATTGTGGACAATGAATGCGAGAAAAATGAATGGAATGCAAGAAGTGCCAGAATCCATATAGTAGATCTGATAACGGGCCATGTAAAATATTGTGAAATATCTTTTTTTATAAATAATAAAATATTTTTTACGCCATATACGCACAGTTTAACACATAGCGGATAGGTGGTGTTTAGCAGCTCTGCGGCTTAGCACGACGACTAATTTGCAGCCTTTATGAGATAGTGATCTTTTTCACAATAAACGATAGTTTTTTCGTTAACTGCAGCTCTTGAGAAGTTTTGAACACGACAGGATTGTAAAAGATGCTCTGTTCTATCGCTCTGTAGGTGTGAAGATTGTGTATGGTACTGTTTCTTACCTGATGGTATGGTCCATTATACAAACATATCGATCGTTGTCGGGATTTGGAAGTGTTTTGCAACTAATGATGAGTTTATTTCTTTGTCTTTTGTACCCGTCCATTCAGTATGATAACTTTGACTCACTATAAAAAAGGATAATGCTCTCGGCGTTGATCGATTCCTAAGGGATGCGCCATGCACTCGACTTCATCAAGCATTGTTGGAGGTGATTGAGTGCATATCTGGCCTTTACAATGACTCGCAGTGGCCTACCGATGTATCGACCCAGTGCTGCTATCCTCCTAGACAAGTGTGGTACCAATTTACTGACCCCGGAGGGATGGAAGGCTTGGTAGGCCATGGGCGCGGGGATCGATCCCAGGGGTGTGTCGCAAGGCACCTCCAACCACTGCGCCACATGCGCTCGTTGACTCACTGTAGCGATCAAAAGTGAACTAACATTCAGTTAAATGTCAATTTAACAGCTAACGAACTCGATTAGGAAGTTTTTTGTATATTTATGACTGCAGAACAGAGCTCTTTTCGGGCGACACCCGCCACAACATTTGTGTTGGACAGCCTATCTAGTGATTGTATGAAGTATAAGAAAAAAGTTTTGTGTGCTAAAATAATCCATCAGAAAGAGGTTGACTCATATGGAGGTCATACTGGCCGCTTAAGATGCCGTGTATACAAGTGTACGTCCAAGTTGCATGGACACGTATTTCCATGCCGTAGTATGTTAGAGAAGTAGAAGTCCGTTGTGTGATTGCCAAGTTATAAATGAATGTTTGTTCAAAAATAACTCTTCTCAATAAATTTCGTCCGTGTACTCAAGTACATGGTATACTGTATAGTATTTACACTTTTAATACAGCGCCTAAATGTATGTTTTGCATGTTATGGGAGGTAGGGAACGAGAGAGCAAATGCGTGCTGTTTTTATGCCTTCCATTTTTAGCGGTTTATTCTGCTAAACAAAGAATCTACTGTATTTTTCGTATTTGATTGATGGCTTATCCATTACAGATGTTATGCCAAGTGTAATCTTTGAAAGCTTATCCTCTGCTGTTAATAATCTACAAGAATACTTCTTTCGTACAAGTTAATCATGCGGCGAAGATGTGTTGCTGCTGAAAGCATGCAGCTTATGAAGGGTGGAGAGGAGTAGAAATGCCCTTACTTGATCACTGAAATTCGACGTTTAGAGGCAGCTTTTCTACCGCAATAAGATAAAGGAGACTTTTTACAGTGCCTCAGTTTTCACCAATTATGCATCTGTCAATATGATTCAGCAAAAAAAGGATTTGCTCAAATCATGAGGAGACAGAATAAGAAGTACCAGCTGTTAACCCTTCTAACAGATGAACAATTGTCGTCAATTGATCGCTTGTTTCATCGGACCGCTTCTTCTGGTTGTAGCTTTTCATCACATGTGGTTTTGATGATTTGAGTGATGGAGTCACATTATGAGTAGTGGTTATTACAATACTGTCCTCATCTTTCCACTTTAACTCCATAGTATAGCTCCGATTCCATTTTGCCATTCTCTGTCCTCTTTTTATCGCCATGTTTTGGCCTGTTTGGAAAGTCTGTTCTTGTTTATTCTACAGCTGCAGGTATAAAGTTGCTTTCCTCTATTCACGAAATCCTCACCGCTACGGAGTGGCTATATGTGCAGTTATCAGGTGATTGCTAGCATTATACACCAAAGTCTTGTTGGTGTAATCATGTCTCCTCTTGAACACGGTTTAAATAGCATCATGAGTCGGTACTTAAGCCGCTTATGTGGGATGTACTGACCGAAGGCGACTCCACTTCTAAAGGTAATGGAGAGCCACCAACACACACTTTCCAGACCTGTATATTCCGCTACAGTTAACAATAAACGACTTCTGATTTTTGAATAGTATTTTGTAGTAAATACGATAGAGTAATTGAGGAAACTCATCCGAGTGTTCTGTGTTCCCAATTCCTCATGTCCTATTGTTATCGAAGAATTATCGGGAATTATCGAAAAACGAACACTGTCCATTATGCAGAGCATATAAAGTTCAATTTTCTTACCAGCAACTCACTATTATTCCGTTTCCAAATACTAAGATTAATCGTAGTTTTCGGACAAAATAGGCAGGTACAAGAAATACCGAGTCGTTCTCAACATAAGTCACAAAACACTTCCAAATACTGGTGGCAATATGGATTGATGACAAACTCTAGTACACTATAGCAACTGTCGACATATATAGCCCTAGTGAGATAAAGTAATATCTCTTCTATCGTTCTGTGGTCAAATGTATATCTTTGATTATCGGAAAATGACCAATGTTTTAATCTGGCCGAGTTTCATTGTTTGTGCAGCTGCCATCAAAATAGGTATCGTTACCTGTGGCAGCCACACGAATTTGAGCATCCTACGTTACCTGTTAAACGTGCAGAACTGTTGTTTTGGATGCTTTTCCTTTTTTGCTTGCATATTAACTTATTTGTTGAGAAGAAGACATTCGATTTTCGTTTTTAGTTACGCTTATCACCCTTCTACAATTACAGATTAGCCCTGTTTTCAGTTACGACGTTGTCGTCACTTCTGAAACGATCTATAATACAGAGGATTACGAAAATCTTCATGATGCTTTCGACTACGCTTTATCACCAACTGGCGTAATGTGCGTTATTTTCATATCACCTTAATTTGTGGTTGGTTCCCAAGCGAGCCTTTTCCTTCTACGTTTTGCAAGTTAGAAGAACTTCCAGATGGGTGGCCGCAAAAGTTTTCTACTTCGGCGTCGGCGGCAACGTTCCGACGTTCGTTGAGTTCGTTGAGAGCAAGGGTGTATTTAAAGTGTCCACCAAAGAATCTATTTCGTCCGATATTCCAAGAGTTATTCTGGAATTGAAAAGGTAGCATTGCCTTTTTTTTCATCGTTGCTCGTTAGTGTTTTGTCTGGTGGCGTATTTCTTTGGAATAAATGTTTTCATTTACTGTTTAAATCTGATGCTTTGAATTTCGTTCGTGTTCGAGAATGAAACGGCAAACAGCTGTTCTCTTAGTGACCTCTATTCCTTTTTCCTGCTTTTCTACGATTTTACATAGTTCGTCATTTCTGATCGGCCGCTCGGTTGGTCGGTCGGATAACAGAGGAATCACTGCCATCCTAAGGAAATCTAACTACAAGTGGAAAATCCTGCTATTAATAGAGACCAGTGACTGTTTGTGATGAGGATCAGGAAATAGTGTAACACAACTATGCTGATAGTTCGATGAGGAGTTTATTCATGGAACCACTCTTCCTTTCTACTGTACCCACAGTGAGTTAGTGTGTGCGTGAAAACAACCGCATAACCACTGTATGTCACGTGAATTGAAAAAAATACGAATACAAGAGTTTACAAGATGAGAATTTGAGACAGAGTATCAAAGCGAAGAAAAGAATAAAGAGATAGTAGGATAAATTAGTGCCATTGTTACTAATAAGTCGAAAAAAAAATGGGCACGCGTGGCGCAGTGGTTGGAGGCGCCCTGCAACACATGAAATCGATCCAAGCGCTCATGGCCCATCAAGCCTTCTGTCCCTCCGGGGTCGGCAAATTGTGCCAGACTTGTCTGGCAGGATAGCAGCATTGGTTCGATGCATTGGTAGGCCAGCGCGAGTCGTTGTAAAACGCCAGATATGCATTCGACCACCTCCAACGATGCTTAATGAAGTCGAATGCATGACGCATCCCTCAGGGATTGATCAACGCTGAGAGCTTCATCTTTTTAGAGAGCTTTAACTTTGGCCAGTTGACTGATCTTGTATGGCCAGTCTGTATCATCGCGTCTTGCATTCACCTATATCACCTACAGTCCCGTTGATCGTCGAATGACTCGAGGGGGCGCCAGTAAATCTTCCATTTTTCCCTGTCGCGTGCAAAAGTAGCCCACTGGGTTCTGCTCGCTCTAGGGATTCGTCGAGCATCATATCTTTCTTCTAGACTTTTCGTGAAGAACTCTGACTGTCTAGCCGATGGTCTTCTTGCAGTGCGTTTAACATCCCGAGGAATCCAGTCACTAACGGCTCTTGTCCATCGGTTGCCATTCAAACGCATCATGTGTCTAGCCCACCTTATCTTCGACTGTTCGCTGTAGAGAACGGAATCTTTGATTTTTGCTCGTTAATGCAGGTCGGATCCCATCCCTTGCTTGTGCGAAACGGGATGCTCCTAGCATCGTCCTTTCGTCTGCGCGTTCGATAACACTGAGTTGCCTTTCATGCTGCTTACACAGCGACCAGGTTTTTGACGGATGCGTTAGGCCAGGAAACACCGTTGAGTCGAAAAGGTGGGCATGGAGTCGGGTGTTCTTTGTTCTTTTCACTACATCCTCGATTCTCTTGAAAGCTTCCCAAGCCGCTCGTTTCCTTCTGCTCAACTCTGGAGCTAAGTCATTCAAGGTGTTGATTTCCCGACCTAGATAGACAAAACTGGAGCATTCGGAGATTCTTGTTCCGTTGAACGTAAACGGGGCGTATGAAACCAGTCCGTCCCTGATGAACATCGTTTTTGTGAGATTTAGTCGAAGACCAATCTCTCCACAGGCTTTATCAAAGTCGGCAAGCATACGTTCCGCTTGACTAAAGTTTGATAAAGATTTGAGTTTTTTATAAGGACGATGTCATCAGCAAAGCGAAGATGGTGGTGTAACTGCCGACCATCGATTTTCACTCCCATATTATCCCATTCCAATGTTCGCATGACGTTCTGGAGTCTGGCGGTAAATAATTTTGGCGAGATGGTATCGCCTTGCCTAACTCACCTTTTGACACCAATGTTAATATCGTTGTAGAATTGTGATGTCTTTGCTGTGAAATTTTTGTGCAGCTCACGAAGAATCTTTGTGTACTGAGTAGGGACTCCTTGAATATCAAGGGTTTCCATGACTGCTTCTATCTCAGTTGAGTCAAAGGCCTTCTGTGCGTCGATGAAAGTGAAACAGAGCGGTCTTTTGTACTCTCGCGATACTTCAATGAGTCTTCTCATCGCGTGGATGTGGTCCATAGTACTAAATCCTTTTCGAAACCCTGCTTCTTCACATAACTGTCGTTCGTCAAATGTTCTGTCAGTCCTGTTTAGGATGACTAGAGCGAAAAGTTTGCAGACGACAGACAGCAAACAGGTTCGGCGATAGTTGCCGATATCGTGTAGGTCACCCTTCTTGAACAATAACACGGTCATGCTGATGTTTCCCTGAGTAGGGACCTTGCATTCAGTCAGGTAACGTCTGAATAGCCGAGCCAGTGTATTTACGAGGACTGGCGGATGGTTCTTCAGATGTTCTGGTCTTATCCTGTCCGAACCTGGTGCTGTTCGATTTTTCACCGGCGAAATGGCATGTCGGATTTCGGAAGCGAGAACCGGTAGTACGACACCTCCATCCTACTTCATTTCATATGACGAAAGGTGAACGTAGCTACCGAAGAGATCTGACTAGTATTCGTGAATGATTTTCTCCATTGTCTTTCTGGACGCTGTAGCCGTTCCGTCGTCGCAGTGCAATCATCTTGGTCTTGTAATTGGCGAGGCTTCGGTGATGAGAATACTTTTCCCAGCTTCTGCAGCTCCGCCCATAATAGCTGCTCTTCTCTCTTTAAGATCTTTTATCGCTGTCTGCATTGTTTTACAAGTACGGACGTTAGTTAGGCATTGTTTTGCAAGTACGGTCTTCAGTTCGCGGTTGCTAGTAGACGCCTCTTGGTGACTTTAGAACGCTCAGCTTTCATAGCGCTCACACGAAGATGTTGAATGAGCCTATCGTATTCCTCTATTCCGTACTTCTAGAATTGGTGACGTTCTTCAGACGTCCTTCTTGGTCCAGTCTTGGCGTTGAAATCTCCAATGATGACCTAGAAGAACGTATGATCTCTGTAGAATCTCCAAGTCCATTTAGAACGCTTCGACTTCTTCGTCATAGTTTGATGTCGGCGCGTAAACGACGAAGATTGTCAACGCCGTTATTGATCCACTTCTCTTCAATCGTAAGCGTCCGATTCGGGTTGCAGGCCGTTCGAATGAACCGATGTTCATGGACAAACTCGTGCTGACGACGCCGCTGACGCCTCTACTGTCGCATGTTCCGAGAAACAGTTCTTGTGCGGTGTCATAGACGGCGTTGAAAGAGTGGCGTCGTCTCATCTCGGCCAGGCCGATTACGTACGTTATCCTTCTCGCTTGAATGAGCAAGTCTTCTATCGAGGACTCGGATGCAAGTGTACGTGCATTGTAGGGATTGTCACCGTGGTTCTTTGTGATCCAGGCAACTTCCATTGGCAATGAGTTTAGCAGCCTCTCCGTACTCGTCCTACACCTACACAACGCTGCCGAATTGTGGATTGTTTTGGGGTCAGGGAAATGAGGCCCGTTTCTATTACTGTTTTTAGCTTTTTGATACCTCGTATAGCCTGCTGGACTCTGAACGTGGGGGCTGGGTGTACTCACGGGTAGCTTGCCAGGCTTTCCCAGAGTGAACATGGAACTTATTTGTTGGAGGCGACTCCTAACCGCCTCGCATATACTTCCCTGTTACTTGAGCAGGCTTTTGGCCGAATTGACTGTAGAATCCGCATAAGCGAGAATGCACCCACACACGCATGCATGAATACACCTAGCAAGAACGGAAAACATGTGCGAAATCGGCGCGGCAGAAACAGGGATTCCATCCACTGGATCCACCTGCGTCTCTGGGAATCAAAGGTTGTTTTTAGTCCTCGATTAACCCACTAAGCCTCACGTGGGTACGCACCAGTTTGCCTGGCGACTAACTGGCATGAGATGCTTCTGTGAAGGAGGTCCGTGCGCGTCTTGCAGTATCCGCTAAATTGAGGTAATAAGACTAATCGATTCAGAACTTACGTCTTGGGAATCATGAAATGAAATGAATAAGAACAACATTCACTCTATAACATAGCAGTCATTGCGGCCTAACGTTTCCCATCTTAAAGCACAGACCGAAGAATACGTTAATCTTTCAGATAGCTGTGGGTTCCTCTGTTTTTTCCAGTCGATATACTAGGCGTATTTATAGCATGGAATGGGTAGAAATGAATGTTTTACGAATCCGATTACGAAAGGCTAACACTACCTTTGCCGAGTGGTGGATGAATTTTTTTTCAACAAGCACAACAGTTCGGAATGTTGAAAAGGTATCAGATAATGCATAAAAGGTCTTAAAGTATAAAGTTAGAAGGTAAAGACCGATGTATCCTTTAGTGTCTTCAACAGCAGCTGGTTTCCACTTTTTGCCCTTGTCTTTATCTGTTTGTCCTTCTTCCAATATATTTGAGAATGTTTGTCCACGACTAGCACAACATTTTTCATCGGTTCATTCTCGGTGAGGAGTCAATTCGAAATGAAGCCTAACTCTTACCCGTCGACATGACCCAACCCTCCACAGTTTAATTTTCGACTAGTAGTCAATACCAAAATGTAATTCGCACGTGTTAAGAAACCTTACCACAAGATGTCGGCAGTGTAGCTGAACGTAGTCTTTCTTTGCCGTGCAGAAGTCGATCCGTTCAAAAGAAAAAGGTGGAAGGGCACATAGGTGAAAAACATAAAAAACACGCAAAGTACAAAGGATAGGACAGAAATCGTCGATGAAGAGCATGGTACAGAGAAGTACAACGAAAGGACAGGGCACCTGCTAGAGTAGGGGACTCTTTAGGCAGTTTAGCCAACAGGACTCGCATACATGACATCGTACGACTGGCGGAAAATTAGCCGTCGTTGCCAATATGCTAAAGTCAATAAAGGGCTTGCATGATTTTACATTTGATTTATGTGGATACTCAGCTAGTATTCTTGAGAACCAATTTCAAAAGTTTTATTTTAAAAAGTCGAATGTTTCAGTTTTGGGATGCTGCACCGGTCATGTGAGCACAATCGGCGAGCCATCGTTTGCCAATGAAACGCTGCTTACTGTAGAAATATCGATAAATCCCTGCACTTCCTTCGTGTTTAAATCTCCTTTTTATTGACTTTGTACTCCACTCACAAATACGAACCAAATTCATTATCTTTAGTTGTAATGCTTTTAAATCCAATGAACTCTATCCGTTGATGACGCTCCTGTTTACCTTTGAACATGATTCCAAAGCCTAAGCTTAAGCTTAAGCCGAAGCCTAAACCTAAGCCTAAATCAAGTTTAAATCTAGTTCGAAGTTTCCAAGTTAATCCTCCATGTCTGAGTCTATAGTCGCGACCGAAAAGTTAAAAAAAAAACGAAAAGAAACATGTTATAAACAAATTGCTTCGCGAAGTGCTTTCACAAGCTACTGATTTTTGTTTTTCTTTAAATAATATCGTCTGCGTGCTCCAGCTTCGACCTCTATGCTGTATTCATTGCCTTACCAAACTGCCGTACAAGAAGGTGTTCTGATGTCGACTTGTGATGCCCAGTTTTTGACATTTCCATTCGTTAGTATAGTGGAAAGCTAACCTATGGGTCCTCACTCTCCAGAAAGGCATATTTACATAACAGGAAAACTTTTTACCGTTCTCGAAAATTAGCAAGTATTTCTGGTGATAAACCGATAAGGTTCCAACAAGGGTACCTCAGAAACCCGTGGATAAGAAGGTTCGCCCGTTCAGAAAAATACCAACGAAAGTTGTTTTGATCCGCTACGATTCTGTAATCAGTCAATTTATGAGACTAAGGGCTTAATGCCGATTTGTACTCTGCAGACCATTCCCGTTGACGTGTGACAGCTGATGGCAGCGCTAGAAAAAAAGGCTGGGCGAGAGAACGGCAGAACGAGAGCGTCAGTGCGTCGTGCATAACACGTGATCACACAGAAAGGGTAATCACAGTTCGATCTGGCCAGGTTTTGCAAATATTTGAGCACCATTGTGGCTGAATTTATCAAACTGTTTCTTCAATTATACGACAAAGCGTGGTAACGCTCTGTAAGGGACTCTTTTGAGCTACATGAAGTGAAGGGACAAAAATGTAGTTGCGTATGTACCACAAAGGGGTAATAAATGTGATGTGCCACGAAAGTGCAATTAATGTGATTTCCCAGACGCCAAACGTGGTTAATTAAACTTTCGTGTTAATGGTTCTTGTATAACATTGACAACACCACAAGGTCAAAAAATATACATATGAATAGTGCAGAAAATAACGTAACCAATGTTCGGGGAAAATACAAAAAGTAAGGAGTCACATTTACAATAATGGAGTAATTTCTACATTGTACCAATGAAGTAGAATAAGGAACGCTTCAAATATCACTCAAATCTTGCTGGCTAAGAAATATAGATAAATTATGGAAGCGTGAAGTGCAGAAGCGCAGCGGAGTATTTGAAGGAATAAGGTTACGAATCAACTTAGAGAGAGGTTGTTGCACGACCAATATATCTGGTAATTTTATTTAAAGGAGCATGTTTTCTATGGTAAAAGCAATATTCCTTATAGTACCCGATTTTCCTAATAGGATCTGCTTACCATATTCTCATTCTGATTTATAGAAATATGCACTGAGTTCCATTGTGAGTGGCAAAACTCATAGCTGGTTTGGACTATTCCTTTATATCCACCTTGAACACGTTCGTGAATTTGCTCGCTATTAGACAAATGACAATGATTTCACAGTCAAATTACAGAATAGATTTTGCTCTACCAATGTGCTTATATATTTTTTTATTATAAAGTATTCCTTCAAATTTAATTTTTCTCAAAATCGAAAATTCCAGAAAGAACTGCTAATTAAATCGATTTTTTGGGACCTCCATCATCATAGTGCATTAGGGAACATCTTTTCGTGCAGGATACCATTTGTTCAATCGTGATGTCCGAAATTCAATCCTCTTTCTAAGAGACTGCAACTAAGTTACGTTGAAAATAGGAAATTAAGCTTCATCTTAGCAGATTAAGAAAGCTAACATCTGGTTGGCAAAAATATACATGTATAAGCATATATCCAAATATACATGATGTATATATCTATACGTCTAGATCTATATATACATATGTAAATATATATATATATATTGTCTACATACATATGCATATATATTGGTTTTCATTTCTATTAACATAGTCCACCGTGAGCTCGCAGGTGCTGACTTGATGACAAAAGTGGCAATAATTTTCAAACCGTGTGAATCATATGCTATTCATGGTTAGCGTGCCAGTATCGTGGCAGTGTGTTGATTCACATGTGTTTCTGTCCATGTTTCTTTGCGTGTTTTTGTTCATCATTTACTTCCTCAGGCGTCTCTGCCGACATCCTACATAGCTGATTGAGGTTTTCAACAAGTACAGCTACCAAATGTTGTAAATGGTCTTCCTCACTCACATCTTCGATAATCCCGTCGTTCTCCTCGTCTCTCTATCGTCAGCTGCTCTTAACTACTCATGGTACACTCGAGATCTCTCTTATTTAGTTGCGCTTTCTTAAGCGGTTATCCATAAGCACCAAACTCCAAAGACGAGGCGCAGATGCTGTTTTCTTGATATCGAAGAACCACGTATTTCACGTCAACCACGATTGCATAAAGTCAGTAAACGTCTTTTCTCCATTAACATCATTTGAGATAATGATAATATCAATTCCCAGGATCGACTTTGTATTAACCTCGGCATTGGATTATAAATTCATCGTTTTCTCTCCCAGCAATCGCGAGGTTGTTAAACAGCATACATTTACTTCCATGCAACAACACACATACAACACAATCGTAGCTGACGTTTCGGCAGTATCGCCTTCTTCAGAGCAGTTTTTAAGTGCCTTCCAGTGAGGAAGAGCCGAAAGATGAGAATTTGATTCGAATTTTCTGTAAATGCATGTGCTTTTCAATCCTACGCCACCACCTCTCATCACCAACACGTTATAATGCGGCGGTGAATGGCTTAGGCGCCATAGTATCGCCTTCACTGGAACGTTAGACGCCCGGTAGAAATACTGTATTGTTATGATTCAGGATGCACTTCTTTGAATCAAAGGTAGAACAGAAATTGCGTCGTTTCGATACTGTTGTCGACCTTTCTTTGTCGGAAATGGTGATAACGAGACGATTTCAAACATTTGCGATCATTGTTACTGTTTGATTACAGCCACAGCAATGGGATCTATCCTGGAGTTTGGATTTTGCAAATGGTCATATTTAGTGCAAAATCATTCATTTGTGGAATGGAATGACTTGTCTGAAATTCTCAGAACCCGCTTAACAGGAAAACCAAACAGAAGTGAAGTTTACATGCGAAAAGACCGTAATGCACATTTCCTCATTTGCCAAATGTTTACCACTCGATACGTAGGAGTGAC